AAATCACATTTCAGGGACTCTAAATTTCAAAATTTTCACGGGGGTGCATGCCCCCGGACCTCCATAGATGGTCTCGCGCCTTCGGCGTTCGCTTCGCCCCCCCCAAAAATGAAGGTCTGGCTACGCCACTGTCTATAGTAGTCACGGACATCGTTCTGCCAGCAAATTAATGTGTGCTGTATTGTTGAGATCTATTGTTCAAGGATTGTTTTCCACCACAATTTACACACACAGTGCAATGGAAGCTCAGTCTGTTTGCGTACAGTTGCATGAAGGATCTTCTAGATGGGAATAATTGAGTGAAAACGTATTTATGTCGATTAGACCTAAACAGGAACAGCTGCGAAAAATGCAACTGTAGGTGCAGTTTATTTTTGGATATCCGGTCCAGATGTAAATAATATCTTATCTAAGATCACCAGAGACGTAGCAACGGGGTGGGGGGGAGTGTGGGGGTGTAAACGCCACAACAGTGAAATTCAGGTAAAATTCAAGTTTAAATTTTGACATTTTCAGGTAAAATTTGCATCTATTAAAATTTTCGTTATTTTTGACTTGTGAAATGATAAACATTTTTTTGTAATATACACTCAATTTAGATCCAATTCATTTGCGAATGTGCTTTAGAAAGCACCAAAAATGCGATCCTGGAGCTTCAAAAATGTAAAAATGTTCTGGGGGAGGACCTCACAACCCGCTTTTTTAGGAAACTTAGTGTGACTGTCAAAGTGGAAATCAATCAGAAAAAGCTCTATTATAATTATTACAGTTCAGGTAGATTTTTATCTTTGAAGTTCAGATTTCAGGTAAATCCTCCCAACACCCCAACACCCCAACTTCAAATGCTTTGCTACGTACCTGAAGATCAGTGCGATCATCATACAAAACTGAGAAAACTGTATATGAAAACGAAGACCCACAGCCAGTGTGCTGAAATCATATGAACATGTTTCAATCTTTCCTTTCAGCATTTAACAGCATTGTCAATTGGGTAGCATGTTCTTACTTTTATAGCTAGAGTTAAATATTGTTTTAATTCATATATGTATATACCGTATATACCTGAATCATTTACAGTATTTCTGTCTGGTGATCTGCCAGGAAATATTTGGCAAGATTCAAAATCATAGTGATGCATGACATCTACAAACATAAATAAGTGTACACATATTCTGGACAATTTGCTGATACTATGGAGACATGTGATAATATTGGATAATATAGGAAGATCCGCGGAATATGCAAGTATCAGGGCAGACTCGCAGTACACCTGATCAGACAAAAGTTTTAGTGGTGATGGAACAATCGATTGGATGAGATCATTATAAATTGCAATGCTGTTAGATCTTACAATAAATATAAAATGTTTAAAAATCTAGTATTAAATATTATATAATGAAGAACATTGAATTTAAAGGTTTTATGAAATCTGCGATGCCAGCAATTCAAGAAAAGCTAATAACTTGTATACCAGACACCAGAATATATTTGAAACAAAAAACTCATGTAATGAAATCTTAGTGAATTTCATATTAGTGAATTTTTGAAAAACAATAAGAGTGACATCATTATGCTTATTATTAAAGCAAAACATTTATTAATAAAGTGTGACTCAATAATACTGTTGGCTACACCAAGCTACCAACAATTGTTTGTAAATCGAGTGATTGTTGTAGTCACTTGTTGACATTTTAAGAAAGATACTGCATCTGTTTTATTTCGACCATTCTTCTATTGTAATTATTAATTTTGTATCACAATAAAGGTTTGTGATGAATGTTCATGACAATGAGAATTTCAGCTGTAATCAACAGGCTGAATAGGGTAGCCACAGGTACGCAGTGCGTACCTATTTTCACGTTTGCTATGCGCTGAAGGGATGCACAGACGGTAACACTGATCCTTTAATTACGAAATAGAAAGCGCTAGCATTGTCAATATGTTTCTATACAGTTATAGAAACAGGTGTGGGAGTTTCAGAGAACAGGAAATAGTCACAAGCCCAAAGGGTGAGTTTTTCCACGTTATTTCGAGTTCTCTCGAAGTACCACAAACGTTTCTATAACTCTAAAGAAAGAGAGGGAAATATTTTTTTATTTCTTTTATAATAGAACTCAAGAAAACCTTTTCAGACCTTTGCGCGCTTATAACTGGACTATACAAAATATACTAATTAAGTAATTTTCTGCTTAAAGCTGCATACAGTGTCTAGAAAAGTGGAAAAGACACATTTCACACCAAAAAATTTTGTACATTAAAGGACAATAGCAACAAATTTTTTTATTGTCTGTATTTATTAAGCTTACTAATGGAATACTTAATTTCATATTTTTGTTTGTCCATTGCATTTAGTTGTTCAGATAATTTGCGAAAATGTTTAACAAATTTTAACAGTCGTCCGCCATCTTGGGAAAATTGCGTATGCTAATTTATGCATGAATATTATTTCTACAATGGATTGACATAAAAAGCCACAAAACAGCGCACGCTGCACGCATTATACGGGTGCACCTATATACAATATTTAACGGCATGGTCTACATTCAATACGCCGTTGAAAATAAAAGAAATCCATTAATATGAATGATTATAAGTAAACCACAAACCAAAGTTCCAAGACGCATGCAGAGGTCCTATATTTATACCTATCCCAAAATTAAAATATTGCTTGTTTTTCTCCTACTGTTGGTTCATATTGGTTTGATAACACTTCCCCTACTTGGTTCTTGTGAATATTTTCCATTACAATGACTAAATATAAAAGCATTAATTTTTTGAGAAAACGTATTAAATCTCGATACACGCTATACAAAAATATATTGTTGTTTTGATTCTACCCTGCCATTTACGTCATACGGGTCGAGTCATATTACCCAAAAGATAATTTCTCAGGAATACGAGCCAAGATGGCGGACGATATATAAATTAACAGTGAAATAACATGCTTATAACTCCTGAACAAAATGTTTGACACGGTATTAATAGCATATTTATAGTTAGGTGAAGCAACACTTTTAATATAGACAATAAAAAATTTTGTTGCCATTGTCCTTTAATATTTTTATAGAAGAATGAAACCAGATGTCTTATATAGAACAGTATTTTGAGAATCAGAATTAAACTGTAACGGAAAAGTTCGTAACTGTGGTTACTATAATAATAATAATAATATTTTTTATTTATCCATCTTAAGTATAAAAGTACAATGGATTTACAGTTAAGAATATTAAGTATGTAAAGACAACTACAAACTATGTGATCGAGAGTGCACTTGCACGAGCTAAGAAGGAACGGTTATCGGTTCGCGATAATGTGTTTTTGCTACTAATTGTCCGTAAATCATAGGGATTATTTGATTTAAAGGGTCTTGAAAAAGGAGGGAAGGGCCATTCATAATCCTCCGCGCTTCACGTTTCAGAGTACTCTTCGATCAGAGAGGCTTTGTAGACAGTCGTTGTTATAACCAAGAACTCGTAGGCAGTGGGTCTGGGTTCGTTCAATTTCATTTACCAGATAAGTTGGAAGGCCACCCCAAACACGTGAGGCATATTCAAGAATAGATCTAATATTGGATTTATAAAATGTAATACCTACTTCAACAGGTAGATTAGCTTTCCTGCATTCTCTTAAGATATATACTTCACGGTTAGCTTTCTGTATAACAATTTTAACATGATTGTTCCATTTAAGGTTGTTTTGAAGCCCCATTCCAAGTAGTTTAAATTTGTCCACTCTTTCAACAGTTCATCACCGATATAAATAGGAGGAGGTTCCAATACTGATTCCGTGAAGCATATCCACATGTCCCTTGTTTGTTTGACGTTGATACTTGATAATCATTTTGTTCGACACTGACCAATTTTGGATAATGTCTAGAGCCTGTTGGGCATGGCTTATTTCCCCGGCTCCAACTGCTTAATCGAGTGTGCAGTCATCGGCATACTTCGAGGTATCGACAGTTAGGTTTGCAGGGATGTCATCCTCTAAATCATCGATGTATACATTGAATACCATAGGAGAGATGACCGAGCTTTGCGGAACTCCAGCTGGGCATGGAGCGGATGATGACAACATTTGAAGTAGCTTTACCTGTTGACTTCTCATGGATAGGAAATCTCGAATGCACAGCCAAATAGATTTAGTTAAGTTCATAGAGGCCAATTTAGAGAGGAGAATTCGGTGGCCCACCATATCAAACGCTTTGCTAAAGTCAATGAAAATAGCATGGATACCTTTTCTGCCATGCGCAGTGTTTTCAGTTTCATCAAACCATTTTTGTGAAATTTCAATCAATGCTGATATTGTAGAACCGCCCTTGAGAAATGCATGTTGGTTATCTTCTAATGTAAGAACTGCACAGTTTTGTTGCAATTGAATCTTTTCCAGCACTTTAGCTAACTGTGGAAGCCCTGAAATTTGACGAAAATCAGTTTCAATATTTTTCGGTGGAGTAATTTTAAGCACAGGGGTTATTAGAGCTTGTTTGTAAAAGGTGGGGTATTTACATTTTTTTTATTTCCTATTTTTGGTATTTACATTGAATTATACTACTCGTGATGATGTTATGTGCTACGGGAGCTAAGTCTTCAGGAACCATGCCTCTTTCCATCAATGCCAGTCGCCTTCTTCACCTTTAATGCATTAAAGGCCTTTTTCACCTGACCTATCGATGGCATGGGGGGATCAGTTTCTTTAAGATGGTGTTAACTAGCAGCATTGTCTAACATCATTCCATTCCAATGGGCGGTAAAAACGGCCTGTAGTTTCTCTTTCAAATTGGCAGCATTGACGTTTCAAAATGGCTGCTAATTCGCATTTGAACTAGTTTAAATTAATTCGAAAACTACGTCGGTGATCCCCGGTTATTAGTATAGGTAATAGCATGGTTTCGAGTACAATTTGGATATAACTCCAAATTTCACGAGAGAAACCATGCTATTACTTATTAGTCATTTACATAAAAATGTTCGAGACAATTGTAGTTTTAACTTATGCGTTTATAGCGAACATTCCACTGGCAAAGTTTTTCTCATGACTTTGTTATATCACATTATACAACGCTAATAGCTTGAAAATTCTACTCAATTATGTAATTTTTGTTAGTCTTGTTTAAGATATATGCTTTTCCATTTAAAAATAAAGATAAAAGCCATATTTTCCACGCGAAGGCAACTTTTGCTTTGTGTAGCGCGGCGCCATGTTTGTTTTGTTTTGTTTTGTTTTGTTTTGTTTTGTTTTGTTTTGTTTTGTTTTGTTTTGCTTTGCTTTGCTTTGCCTTGCCTTGCCTTGCCTTGTTTTGTTTTGTTTTGTTTTGTTTTGTTTTGTTTTGTTTTGTTTTGTTTTGTTTTGTTTTGTTTTGTGTTTTGTTTTGTTTTGTTTTATTTTGTTTTGGCTTGGGCTTGGGCTTGGGCTTGGGCTTGGGCTTGGGTTTGGGCTTGGGC